AAAGCTGGGAACCTGGAGCACAGACTGCAGCAGCTCAATAGGCTGGAGAGTGGTCTTTTCAGATGACTGAATTGGACTACACCTCTTCTAGTCAGCTTGACTGGTTTCTACTTCTTTCAGGCAGCTGATCTGGTCTGTGAGTTTTCTTTACTGCTTGGCTTGTCTGGGAATCTTCTTTGCAGCTTTCACCACTTTCTCTGGAAAGCAGGTGCTTAGTGAATCTGGTCAGTTTTAGGGACTTCCTTAAACGACTTTGACTTGTTTACCTTTCCTGTTAATGGAGCTTCCCTGCAGGATAGAATGTTTCAACATGGGAGGAAGCTGTAACATAACATCTTTTGGACACAGAATTAGTCAAGGCTATTCTGAGTAAAAAGAGCAAAGCTAGAGTGTTTCAAATCACATTACAGATGCATAGAAATAAAAACAGCCCTGTGCTGGGACAAAAACGAGCTTATAGAGCAATGAGCTACCATAGAGAACTCAGAAGGAAGTCTACACACACAGATACAGTTACCTGGTGCCCAAAGCATGCTTTGGTAAAAGACTGCCTCTTCCCAACAAATAGTGCTGAGAAAATGGATAGCCACACGCAGAAGAATAAAACTAGATCCCTGTTTCTTACCTTAAACAAAATCAAATCTCAAATGGATCAAGAACATTATTATAAGACTTGAAACTTTGAACTTTCTAGAGAAAAATATAGGAAAAACTTCAAAACATGGGAATAGGCAAAGTGTTTCTGAAAAGGACTCCAACCTCCCAGGAAATAATTGCAATGACTGACAAATGAAATTGCATGAAATGAAAAGCTTTTGTATAACAAAGACCTAAGAGACAGCCTATACAATGGGAGAAAAATCTTTGTCATTTCTACATAGAGTATATCAAGAACTCAGAAAATTAGGTCAGTCATGGTGACACCAGCCTTTCATCCAAGCAATGGGAAGACAGAGGCAGGCAAACCTCCATGAATTTGAGGCCAGCCTGGTGTATATAGTGAGTTCCAGACCAGTCATGGTTATAGTGAGGCTTTATCTCAACAAACAAAACCAGGAATTAAAAAAAATTAAACTCACATGCCAAATCAAGGAAAAACACACTCCACCCAATCAACAAATAGGCAAATGAATTGACCAGAGTTCAAACATAGGAGAAAAAATGTTAACATCCCTGCAAATTAAAACTCCACTGAGATTCCATCTCACTCCAACTGGAAGACCCTCATCAGGAAACCAACACACACTGCCATGGACGCAGTGGGGAATGTACATTTACACAGCATTGGTGGGAATAAGGCAGAGTATCCACTACTGAAATCAGTAATGAGGAACCCCAGAAACCAAACAAAAGTACCATAGATCCAGTGTCACTACTTTTAGACACATATGCAGAGCAAGTTAGCCCACCATAGTGATACTTGCATGCCGATATTTATTGTGATAATATTCAAACCACTGCTTTACAGAGTCAGTCTAGATGTCCAGCAGACCAGTGGGCAAAGGAGATGTGGCACAGATGCTCAATATAGTTTTACTCAGGATATAAAGAAAAATAAAATAAAATCATTTGCTGGGAAAATGTATAGACCTGGAGAACCTCCTTTGAAGCAAGCAAACAAATGAAAAGAAAACCCAGATTCAAACACATGCATCACATTTTCTCTCATATGTAGAATCCAGTGTGTGTGTGTGTGTGTGTGTGTGTGTGTGATGAAACTACTTTCATGTGAGACTCTTTAGGGCTAGGAAGGGAACTGCTGGAGAGAAAAGACAAGAAAGGTGTGGAGAGCTGCACCACACCGCGCCTTAAAGATGGCGCTGGCTTCCGCCTTCCACCATCCCGATGGTGAGTGCCCTCAGTAACAAACAACTCCTTATTTGGCATGCTCCTATCCCGCCAGGGTCACGCCATGATCATCAGATTGCTTACACGTGCTGTTGCACCAATGGCTTATGCATACGTGGCCATTCAGGGTTGGCTGGCCTCGGCTATTTAGGGAGCAGGAGGGGTTTCTTCCGTGGCTGCCTTTCCACTGTTCATCAAGGTCCTGAGTAAACTGTCTGCAAGAAGGGTTCCTGAGTCGCGTCTTCCTTGCTGGTCGAGGTGGTCGTGACAGAAAGGATAATGGGGTGAATATGAACCAATCATGTGGTTCAGTCATATGGAAGCATCATGATTTTGCAAAATGAACATATACTAATCTAAAGTATAAAAGAACACAAAATAAATATCATGTCTCACTCCAAGGTCAGTTCTTCACAGTGTCTCAAATTTATCCTGTAAGTTTATTGGGATGTAGAGGGGTTGAAAACATTGTGGTCATTGCCCATGTGTGTCTTCCCAGCTGAGCCGATATGGTTCCTTTCAACCAGAGCTGGGGTCCATTCTTTTGGGCTTCTCTTTAAGGCTACTGCACATACTGGGGAGAGGCTTCCCACATTCCCCTTGCTGGGCGAGAGGGAACAAGTGTCTCTATCGTCAGTGTGATCAGGCACTGATAGACTTTCTAAACTAAAAGAGGCAAGTGTGCTATAAGCAACTGGAATTAGTTGGAGGAGTGGCAGGAGGAAAAGGTTCACTTGCTAACAAACAAACAATTGCTCTGAAAGCAAACGGAAGTAAACAAAGCTCTGTCTGGATGCTCTAAAAACAAAACGGCAGGGTATCTAACCAGTGCAGAATAAACACATGGACCACTGACAAAACACTAGGACGATCCAGGCTCAGGAGGAACTCAACATTCACCTGAAGAGGTAGCTTAGACAGGCCAGAAGGCTTTGTGTCCATCTGGGTGAATCCTTAAGTGAAAGTGGATCACAGTTGGACTAAACCAGAGAGTTTAGCCCTTTTGTATTTTAAAGGAAATGAGGAAACAAAAACCAGTAAAGGCCAAGGAAGGAGTTGGGGGAATCAGGTTGAATAAAACATTACATTCATGTATGGAATTAATTTTAAAAAATGGGGGGCTGGAGAGATGGCTCAGAGGTTAAGAGCACTGACTGTTCTTCCAGAGGTCCTGAGTTCAATTCCCAGCAACCACATGGTGGCTCACAACCACCTTGAATGAGATCTGGTGCCCTCTGCTGGCATGCAGACAATTGTATACATAATAAATAAATAAAATATTTAAAAAAAATGAAATTGTGAAGAAAATGGACATATAGTCTGGCCAAAATGTGAGGAGTCTGATTTCCTCCCCCACCCTGCCAGTGGCTATTATTATTATTATTATTATTATTATTATTATTATTTGGTTTTACGAGACAGGGTTTCTCTGTATTGTTTTGGAGGCTGTCGGTCCAGCCTGGCCTCGAACTCACAGAGATCCGCCTACCTCTGCCTCCCGAGTGCTGGGATTAAAGGCATGCGCCACCACCGCCCGGCTTCCTGCCAGTGGTTATATTACAGTTTATGGAAAGCCATGATACAAAAGTTAGAACATATGAAGATTTAATGGTAAGATACCCAAACTGGTCCCTTCCAAGACAAAACAGACTAGGGCTCCGGGTTGCTCTGTTCTGTTCTATTAGAGAACAGTTACTTAGTTCTACTTTAAAACAAAACAAAACAAACAAACAAAAAAGCTTTAAGGTTTCAGTGCATTAAATAGGGTTTTAAAGATTTCCCATTTAAAAAAGAAATAGGTAAGGTGAGTGAGGGAAACTGGAGAAGTAACTAACTCAGCATTTAAGAGCACTTCCTGCTCTTCTAGTGGGCCCAAGTTCTCCTGCACAGTTCCTTGTCAATGAATTCCTTTCTTTGACAGGTGCAGAATAGAAGTCCTTTGTTATCTCTTCTTCAGAAGTTAGCTTCAGCTCTGATGATACCTGCAGATGTGTTTAACGTTAATCTTAGAAGCGAGACAAATGTTTATCTCTTCTTCTAGGGTTTCAGCATAGATCGCTGTTACAGATCTAAAAATGATGGCAGCCTGAAGAAACGCTTCCACACTTGGGATGGAATGAGAGGTCTCACGTTTTTGTTTGTTTTTTGAAACATGTGTAACTTTGAAGTCTATCCTGGTACTTGCTCTGAAGACCAGGCTGGCATCGAACTCACAGAGATCCGCCTGCCTCTGCCTCCCAAGTGCTGTGAATAAAGGCGTGCACCACTAACGCCCGGCTTGAGAGGGCTCAAGTTTTGACTCGATGAAAGAACTTTTGAGACTTCCTAAAAAGGGGAAAGAGAACGATGGTCGTTTTTGAGTTAGGTGCCAAGAGGAGGGTAGGATTGCAGCCTGTGAAGACTTAGAGGAAGTCACCCACAAATATCTGGGAAGTGGTTGTAAATAAGTGTTGAGATACAGATTTTTGGAATAACTTTTCAGGTTTTGAGCGCAGTCAATAGTCACTTCTACACTTCATTTAAACACCCTTGCGCAATGGCGTCACCCGGACTATAAACCCCACCCAACTCAATTCCGCGCCTGCGCAGCGCGCGTGCGTGCCGCCGCAGCTGCCGCCGCGCCCTTCTCTGGGCGTCTAGATTCCCTTCTTTGCGGCCCCGCCCAGGCTGCCCGTGACCTGCCTGGGCGCAGGGAACGGGAAGTCGGAAGGGGTAAGAAGTCCAGTTCGTCATGGGGCTGTTTGGGAAGACCCAGGAGAAGCCTCCCAAAGAGTTGGTAAGGGCGAGCGACCGGGGAGCCTGCGCGCTGGGCAGCGGAGCTGGGGACGGCCGGCCACGCTCTCAGGCTGGCCCCTATTTCCGGGGCCTTCCACTCGGTGGAGGGGCCGAGGGAAGAGTTTGGGAGCGGGCTGTGAGGAAGAGCGCGCACTCGCTGCTCGGCACCCGTCAAGGGTGGGAAGGACCAGTTCCGGAGAGCCTCGGCCTCGCCCCCTCGGCGCTGAAGCGCGACACAGCCGGGCCCTGAGAAACCACTCCCCCCTGTGCGCGGTGGTACGGGCCGCCCGGAACCTTTCTCACGCGTAGGCTCCGCCCCCACGCCGTTCTGCGGACCACCAGACCGGAAGGTTTTAAGCGTTGAATCGGGTCAGGAATCCTTGAAGGTCCAGGCACCTGCAGTGTATTCTTCGCTCACCTGTATGTGCAGGAAGCCCGACTTCTGTTTACTTCAGAGGCGCAGTAGTTCTGCCAGGGCCCTATCCATAAGAATGCTACCGAAATGCTGCTCTGAACTCTAAGATCTGCCTATAGTTACTCTGGGAGCCAAGCTTATGTTTGAGCCCTACCTACTTTCTTGGCTCAGTGACCTCGAGAAACTTGTTCGAGCATTCTTAACCCAAATAGTGCTGCTACAGTAATTGGCCATTAAAAGATGTAAAGTTTGATGGTGAAGGTGCCTTGTTACTCAAAACACAGATCAACAGCACCCGAGCATATTAGACTTGCGGGGTGCCATTACAGACCTACTGCATCGGATTTTGAATTCTGACTATCCCCAGTGGTTAGTATGTGCCCTGAAGTTTGAGAAGCCTAGCTTCTACAGCGCTCAAACTTGGCCCTCAGATCCTTGAGTAGGTGGCTTTACCTGTTCAGTTATAGGAGTGTAGCTGTCGAGCCAGTCTCATTAATCAACTCTGCCGTTTTCTGGTGCATGTCCTATTTCTTAGATGGTTACCCTCCTGGAAGAGAAATTGACACCCCGTTCTTAGCAATTACATTTATCATTTAAAATAACGAACGTGTTATATTAGTAATGCACATACCAGGCATAAATTTAAGTAGTCGTGAGACTGTTTCTTTAGACTCTATCTCGATTTATGGGTGACAAAGCTAAGTCCACACACTAGTAATTAGTATACTTGAGAGGAGTATACAAATACCTCAAAGTAGGCATCTACATAATGTTTTAAAATGAAACCGAGTGCTTATCTAGTTTAAGCTCCAGAAATTCAATTTTATACTGCTGAGAAGAATGTCACAGGTGAGTGCTCTTAATAAAAGGTTTTAATAGGTGCGGTGGGGCATGCTCCAAGTTCAGCTGCTTGGGTAACTGGGGAAGGAATATTCTTGAAGGCAAGAGTTTGAGGCCAGACTGGGCAGTTACTCAGAAAACAAAGATTTTAGGGGAAAGTCTGGATGTTGTAGAGTTTCTGAGATATTACTATCTATCTATCTATCTATCTATCTATCTATCTATCTATCTATCTGTGTATCTATCAATCAATATATCTATCTATCTATCTATCTATTTATTCCGGACAGGGTTTCTCTGTAGCTTTGGAAGCTGTCCTAGAACTCGCTCAATAGACCAGGGTGGCCTTGAACTCACAGAGATCTGGCTGTCTGTGCCTCCCAAGTGCTGGGATTAAATGGGTGCACCACCACTGCCCATTGCATTTAGTTTTTAAATTTAATCCCTGCATTAAACAAATAGCAGTGTAAAGGAACAGATCTTGGAGTTGACTGGTCTTCATTCTGCGTGGCCTGTGACTTGTGCTTGGCTTTTTCTTCTGTGTCATTTTCTATGAAATGGAAAGTTGCATGTAAACTTGATGAGATCCAAGTTAAACAATTTTTGCAAGAATGCTTCTCAAGGAAGCTGTGAACTAGATCATGTTAAAAATAAGTTCTGGGTGGAAACAAAAGAGATTACTACTTCAGCTGAAGTTTGCTGTGTCTGGACAAGGCAAACCTCATTCTTGATCCAGAAGGTGTGCTCAGGAGATTGAGCCCACAGAGACAAGAGGTGCTGCTCTTGGTTTTATTCTAACTCAGGTGGTAACTGTGTCTTTTCCACACTGGCTGGGGTCTGAATTCACAGTCTAACTCAGTTGGCTAGACTGGAAAGAATTGTCTCACATGAAATGAAGGAGGGGAAAAGGGTCACTGCTTCATCTAATTCCTGGAATACAGCAGGTGGCCTTTGTGTAAACAAAGATTTTCCCTGGTGTATGGGGGATTGAAACATTTGTATAAAATACTTGCAAGATGGGGAAGATGAAAAGATTTGAACTTCTAATTGTAAACACAAGTTTTATTAGTATACGATAGAAAAGACTCATTATTTCTAGCATATTACACCATAAGGCATATGATGTGTAATCTCATTTTGTTTGCTTGCAGACAGGGTCTTGCTGTGTGTGCTGGATGGTTTGTATCAACTTCACACAAACCTAGACATATCTGGGTGGAGGAAATTGCAACTGGGGAATTGCCTGTAGGCAAGTCTGTGGTATTGTCTCACTAATGATGGATGTGGGAGGGCCTCACTCTCTGGGCTGTACACCCGTAGGCAGGTAGTGTTGGCTAGTCCTCGTGGCCTCTGTTTAAAGTTCCTGTCTCCGGGTGCCTTACTTCTTCCTGTGTTGCACTACAGCTGTAAGTTGAAATGTACCTCCAAGTTGCTTTTGATGTTTATCACAGCAAAATAAACCAAACTAAGACATCATATAACCCAGGCTGGTGATCCTTCTAAATGCTGGTATTACAGGTGTACCACTATGCTTGGCTCTTACTAACTTTGGTCACCTGCTTCAGGTCATGTCAGCTAGATAATCTATTACAGTTTTCCTTTTGTGAGAGGCCATTTACTTGGATTGAGTATCTGAATTAGACCCATTAGAATCTACCAAGCCCACATAATTAATCATGGTTGTAAGAAATGCTGCAGACAAGTAATTATAAAGTGGTAACCAGTTGACTAGTTACTGAAGCTGTAGTACTTGTCTTGCTTTCTGGTTCTCTTCCATTTGTCTCTAAATGCCATCTTATATTATTGGTTGGATTTCTCAGAACTTGCTTTGGTTCTGGGAGTGGCCTGGTTTATGACTAGGTTTTGTTTGGCTTTGCTCTAATAAACTCAATTTCATTGGTGTAAGGAATTTTCTCTTAGCACTAGCATGTAACGTGAGGGATGCTACATTGGTCTTAGATGGATTGACTATGCAATCTCATTAACTCTCTTGAATGCCTTAGCAACTTTTTGTACCTCTTTTCTGAATCAACTGGCTTTGAATGGTTTTCTGATAGATGATTTCCTTTCTAATTCTATCATTCCTTTCTTAGTTGTTAGCTGACAGTCTTCAATAAAGATCCTCCTCTTGCTAGTTAAGCTCATTTGGTTACCTGGACAGACTTTGTGCTAAAAAGGCAAGAGAAGTAAGTGCCCAGTTGCTTTTTCCTTAATCACTGATATTTAGAATAAGGGGTTGGCATAGTGGTTTTCAGAAATGTGACATACTTTTTCTCTCCAGTGCCATTTAGGCTAGATTTTAATATGTTTTTTATGTCACAGTCACTTTTCACCATTATTTTGTGTGATGCTGAAATGCAAGTTTGGTAGGTGGTGCTACACAGTTTCTGTCTCCTTTTAACATAATCTTAATGATCTTTGAGTACTTCCTTGCTTCCTAGTATAATATGTATCTTGGTGTGATTTGTATGTTCCCATCCTGGAACCTGAAATCTGCCATTTCTCTTATAATGGCAGTACAGTTCAGCACACAGTTCTAAATGGGATGTATTGTGCAGTATTTGTACACTGAGTGGAGATGTATTGCTGTGATTGGTGTAATAAAAAGCTGAACAGTAATGCCAGGTGGTGGTGGCGCATGTCTTTAATCCCAGCACTCGGGAGCCAGAGGCAAGTGGATCTCTGTGAGTTCAAGACCAGCCTGGTCTACAAGAGCTAGTTCCAGGACAGGCTCAAAAAAAAAAAAAAAAAAAGCTGAACAGTCAATAGTTAGGCAGGAGGTATAGGTGGGACTTCTGGGCAGAGGGGGGGAGAGAGAGACAGAGACAGAGACAGAGAGAGACAGAGAGAGAAACTGGGAGGAGAAATCTAGGCGTGTGGTGAAGCCAGTGAGACTCTGATGAAGTCGGATGTACGGTACAGAGCAGAGGTAACTGAGCCACGTGGCAGAATGTAGATTAATAAAAACAGGTTAATTTGAGTTATAAGAGCTAGTGGACCAGCCTAAGCTAATTTATTATAATTAACAAATAGTCTCCATGTAATTGTTTGCGGGCTGGTGGTCCAAGAAAGTCTGATGAGACTCTTGCTACAGGGATGTTCCCATTAAATCCCTCTCTCAAAGCTTAGGGAATCCTGTGGAAGAGTAGGCAGAGGGAATGGAGGACACCAGAATAACATGGTCTTCTAAATCAACTGAGCAAACTCATAGGAATTCACAGAGACTGAGTAGCCTATACAGGCCTGCATCTCATATATATATATATATATATATATATATATATATATATATATAGCCTTACGTTTAGTATTTTTATGGGTACTCCTGAGTGTGTGAGCAAGTGGATCTCTAAATCTTGTGCCTCCTCTTAGGGCTCTTCCTTTCCTTCTGTTGGTTTGCCTTGTTCACCAACTTCCATTTGATGGCTCTTGTTTTATCATATTTTATTTGTTATATTCTGTTGTTATCTCTTAGAAGCCCATTCTTTTCTAATGAGAGATACAAAGGGAGTGGATCCAGATGGGAGAGGAGGTGGAGAGCACTAGGAAAAGTAGAGGGAAGGGAAATTGTAATTGGGATATATTGTATGAGGGAAAAATCTATTTTTAATAAACAGAGGAAAATAAACATATTGAAACTATATATATATGTATACACACATATATTTTTGTTCAGTTTATATTTTTCACATGGTAGCTTTCAACCATCCCTGACTCTGGGTCCAGGGGACCTGGTGGCCTCTTCTGAACTCCTTGGTAAAAAGGCATACATGTAGTATACAAATATGTAGGCAATACACCTATACACGTAAATATATCTAAATTTTTTCAAAAGTTAAATAAATGGTTTTTATTTATTTTTGTGTAGTTATAAAAATCTTTCCATCTGTGGTAGTTTTCTTTAATTTACAGTCTTAGCAAAATAAAAATTCATAGTTTCAGTTTAGATAAAAATGTCAGCCCTCCTCCTTTCTGATGATTGCTTGTGTCTTTTAAAACTTAATTTTAAAGATTTATTTTTAAGTTAGGGGTGTGTGTGTGTGTCTGTGTGTTTGTGTGATTGTGGGTGTATACATGTCAGGTGCCTGATGCATTGGGTCTCTTAGAGCTGGGAATCCCAGGGTCCTTTCTGCTAGGCCAACTCTCCAGCCTCATTTCTTGTATTTTAAGGAATCTTTCTTTAACTTGACATCATTAATATATTTTCCTCCTTCTATAGACCTGGGGCTTGAAGAAAGGATTTCATGGTGTATAATAGGCAAGCCTTCTACCACTGATCTGCATCTCCAGCCTTTTAATTATATCTGATATAACAGTTTTTCATTTCATATTTGTGTTTTATTTAATATTTATTTTATGTATTGAGGACTCTGTCTGCATGAATGTCTGCAGACTAGAACAGGGCATCGGATCCCATTATAGATGGTTGTGAGATGCCATGTGTTGTTGGGAATTGAACTCAGGTCCTCAGGAAGAGCAGCCAGTGCTCTTAACCACTGAGCCATCTGTCTCTCCAGCCCTCATGTTTGTGTTTTTAATCAACCAGGAATAACCTTCAGGGATTGGTGGAACAGGAATTTGGACAGTTGGTTTTTGTGTGTCATTTGTCTCAGCACTGATTGTAGGTGATGCCTTCCTGTTGGTTTCAGTTTCCTTCACCTACTTTGTGTGTGGCATATAATAGACTCAGTGAATGAATTTGAAAAAAAGCACTTAATCTTGATGGTCTGAAACTTTCTGTAGATTCCTTATGGTTTTCACAGCATAGTTTAACTTACTAATTGATTTTTTAAATGTATTGGTGCATTCCTTATGTTTTCTTTCACTTATTTAAATACCTTTGATTTGTTAGTAAAATACTGTTGAAACTATGCAACTGTTGAATTTCTTTTTGTCTGTCTTGAATTCTGTCTACTGTATCTTTACAGTCATGAGTCTTGTATGACACATTTTATTGAGCTCTTGGTCTTGGACTGTGTTTCTTAACCCTAAAAGATTATTAGAATCCTCTGGATACATGTAAAATGCTAAATGTCATCTGGGCCGCTTCAGTCCAGTTAAATTGGCATTTTTTATTTATACTTAAGTATAGCCAAAGTTAACAGCAAACTCAGATGGCCATCAGTAGATGAAGAAAGAAACAGAGTTGTGGTGTGTACATATAATGGAATGCAAATAAGACTTAAAAAGATTGAGATACTCATATATGCCACAACATGGGTAAACCTTGAAAACAAGCTATGAAATGAAAGACTTTTATATGAAATATTCAGAATAACCAATTCTATGTAGACAGAAAGCAAATATTGGTTGCCAAGGAATTGGTGATAGGGAGATAAAGGGTTATTTAAGGTGCAAAATCTGTGTTTCATGGTAATGAAAAAGTTTTAAGGATTGATGGCAAGTTGTGCTAAATTTTACAATCAGTTATATACTTGAATATGATTAATTGCATATTATATTAATTTCATTTAAAATGTACATAAACCTAATGTAATACTTTAAAAATTGTGCTACCTTATAGTTTTATTTTTGGTGTGTGTGTGTGTGTGTGTGTGTGTGTGTGTGTGTGTGTGTGTGTGTGTGTGCCATGCCTGTTCATATGGCAGAAGAGAATTTCAATTATCCTGGAGATTTGGTTTTTGGTTTTTCAAGACAGGATTTCTCTGTGACTTTGGAGGCTGTCCTGGAACTAGCTCTTGTAGACCAGGCTGGTCTCGAACTCACAGAGATCCACTGGCCTCTGCCTCCCGAGTGCTGGGATTAAAGGCATGCGCCACTACCCCCCTGGCTCAAGTGTCCTGTTTTGTCACTTTCTGTCTGGAGACTAACCCTGAAGCCCACCATTTTAACTAGGGTCACTCGGCCAGTGAACTCCAGGGATCCACTTATATTGTCCCCCACCATTGGGCTTATAAGCAGTCTTGTTCATGCCTGGCTCTTTAGTGTTGAAACATTTCTTTCAGTGGTATCACTGTTATTGTAAATATTTTGCAGATTTTGGTAAGTAATTACTAAATATTAAACTTGAAATTTAATAGAAATACATCTTCTTTTTTTTTTTTTTTTTTGGTTTTATGAAACAGGGTTTCTCTGTATTGTTTTGGAGGCTGTCGGTCCAGCCTGGCCTCAAACTCACAGAGATCCGCCTGCCTCCTCCTCCCAAGTGCTGGGATTAAAGGCGTGCACCACCACCGCCCGGCTAGAAGTACATCTTCTAATGATAGGAAAGTTTAAATGCAGTTTAATTCATGTATATGTGGGTGAATGTAACAGGGTTCAGTGTTCTATTCCTCTAGAATTAATATAGAATTTTAAAAATAGACTTAAGTACTGTAAAACCTTTTAGTAAGTAGCTGGTAACGGAAGGACATTGAAGGAGCAGAGTCACTCAGTTCTTCTGAGTCATGTGCCAAAAAGCACACAGTCATTTAATATAAATTTTACTTTTAATGATCCATAAGCTGGACACCTCAGATTTTCCTTCAGTGTTTTTTGAAAAAAATTGAAGAATTGGAAAACAGTTCACTTGCATGAGAATGTGCTAGTTTTTAGTTACCTACACTACTATCTCCAGTTGGCTACATTTAGTGCCTTAGAGATTTTAACCTAATGGGAAAAAAAAAACATATAAGAAGATGAGTTCCCTTGGGAAGGCACAGGAGGAGGGGAGGGAAAGGGAGAGGAACCTGGAACTGACTTGTGAAACAACCTGGTTTCTAATCTAAATTTAGGCTTAAAAATAAAAAAAAATGTAACAACAACAACAAAAAGATGAGTTCCCAGTATTAGGCAGAGTAATTTTTAAAATAATTACGTGTGAACGATGAAGCTCTTCAGATGTCCTGTCTTTGCCCATGCACCATATGAGAAGCACTGTGTACCACAGTCTTTTGTACAGCGCTCTCCTTCCCTGCTAGCCTTTAAACAGTTTGCCTATGTACTGTAAATAAAGGAGCTAGTTCAAAAAAGGCCCTAAATGTCTTTCTTCACAACTAAAAATAAAAAAATCATGTCTAAACTCAATCTAGAATTCCTAAAACGTGCAAAATTTGCTAGAAGTGTTTGCTTCTCTGACAAATTCCTATCTAAAATTTTCCCCAGGTCAATGAATGGTCATTGAAGATCAGAAAGGAAATGAGAGTTGTTGACAGGCAAATAAGAGGTAAGTTGCTATTTTATGTTTCCTTTTCTATATTCTAATGCTATATTTCATTTTAGCACATATATGTAAACATATATACATTATAAGACATAGTTCATTCCCAAACTAATTATGTGTAGATATTCTCATTATTTTGTTTTCTAATTCTATACTTAGTATAGAAAGGGAATGATTGAAATAGACTATATTATAAGAGAAAACTCTTGGTGCTTGAAACAAAAGTCTTTTATGAATTTTAATTAAATAAATTTTGTGTAAGAAAGCAATGCAATTTCATTATCTCTATCTCTGAGAATTTCAACATAACTTTAAATTGGGAACAATACATTTCTGAGTGAAAGTTACTGTTTTTAGTACCATTTGAAATTAAGGTAAGTGGCCAAGAAATGGTAATGCTTAAAGTTTTTTTAAAAAGTTTTATATATTTTGACAATTTCATACATATAAACAATGTATACTGATTATACTCACCCCCGATGCCCCTCCCATTTACCTCAGGCAGTCCCTGTCATCTTCCCCCACTCAATATCCATATCTGCACCCCACACCCATTGTAATCCATGGAGTCCAGTTAGTACCATCTGTTGGAATGCTGACTCTCTTTGTTGACTTGACCTTGTGCAGGTCTGTGCAGGCATCCGTAGCTGTGGTGCGTTTGTGTGCAATGGCCATGTCATGTCCAGAAGACATTTCACAGTACTCTTCCACATGCTTACATTATTTCCACCCCTTCTTCTGAGATGTTCCCTGAGCTTAGCATGGGATGTTGAAATAGCTGTCCCATTTAGGGCTGAACACTCCATAGTCATTTATTCTCAGCACTTTGACTAGTTTTGAGTTCCAAGTTATGAGGCCAAGGTGGAGGGCAGCACCCATCTATCAACATGATCATTTAGCAGCCCGTCAGTAGGAAGTTTCACTGTAGGGCTTAGGCATCCTGAGTAATGGGAACCAGGTTTAAAGTATCAGATACGAATTTCCCCTTATGGATCAGATGTCAGATCCAACCCAAAAGCTATTGGTTACCCCACTGTTAAACTAGTGACGATGTCTTGCCTGGTAGGTCAGTATTGTAGAATGCAGGATTGCCGCTGGAGAATGATGTTGGTGGCTTCCTTCCCACTCCACAGTGGCCTGCATAGCACTTTCCATCACTTGAAGCTAGCCAGTAGGGAGGAAGTTTTCAGGTGGATTCCAGCTACATCTTCTAGCTAAAATATGTCATGCCTCAGCAGTTCTGGCAGACAGCCAAAAAGATAGTTTGCATTGTTTCTAGTGCTTCTGGGGTTTTTCCTGTTACCATAAGCAAGCCTGGTACTAAGATTTTTATTTACTAATCTACCTTTTCTGTTCATCCATGCCAGCTATCTGTATTTAAATACCTAAAACATTTTGTTGTTGTTTATTAAGACAGGGTTTCTCTGTATAGTCCTGGCTGTCCTGGAACTCCCTCTGTATGCCAGGCTGGCTTCAAACTCATATATCTACCTCTCTCTGCCTCCCAAGTGCTGGAATTAAAGGCTAGTGCCACCACACCCTGCCTGATTAGCTTGCAAAATAGTTTCCGTAAGAGTTTTTACAGCCTCAGTTTTGGCAAATGCCCTGTATGCCTCTCTGGTCCCACTCTATCCTTCCTTAAACCTCCAATATTCCCAGATACTCCTTTTATAGGGATTCTGCTATCCTCTTTCCTCTTAAAGGATTTTTAAAACACCTTCATGAACAGAAAAGATTAAAACCAGATGGTATTACAGCATCACAACTTTAAAAAAGAATTAGGGATGAGAATTCTATTCCCAGCTTCAATAATTGATTTTAGTCTTACTCTTCTATTTCAATTGTAAATGAAAGTTTGAACAATGAAAGTTGAACTATGAAACAACCACATCCCACGTTGAACAGATGATACTCTTGATTTTCTGTTTAGGAATACTTTCTTGAATGTGGCACATGGGAAGGATTCCAGAAAGAGCATGGGGGTCTCATTGAGTTGAAGACTTGGATATTAGGGATGAGCAAGGCTAAAATATGTGATGCAGGATAATAGAGAAAAGGAATATAGCCAGGGAAAGAACTCCAGGTATCTCCTTGCTATCTGGGTCTGGCTGAACACTGATCTATGCTTACTTATAGAGATATGTAGCACGAGTTCTAATAGGTTTTAATAATAAAAACCCAGGCCAGGCGGTGGTAGCGCACGCCTAAGAGACTGAGCTCCTGTCTCCTCCCACATTATCACTTCTTCTCTCCACCCAGCCATCTCACTTCCTGTCTGTCTGCACAGACCTCCATACCTCTGGTTAACTAGGGGCGAGCTCCACCCTCTGATCTTCAAGCAAGCTTTATTTGTTAGAGTACAAAGAAGATACCACTACAGTGATATTTGCAGAGGCTAGACAAAGAATAATTAATGGGAATAGAACAAATACCAGGGCAGCCACAATGAGATATTTACTACTGTGTACCTAACAGGTAACTGTTAACAAAAGCAAGCAAACAAACAAAAAAACAAAACCAGAAAACAGCACGTGTTGGCAAGCATTTGGTGAAATTAGAACTATGTACCGTTAATAGGAACATAAAACAGTGCAACCACTTTGGAAAATGTAGAATAGCTCCCAAGGAAATTACAAGTAGGACTATCAGGTCTGGCATGGTAGCACACACCTTTAATCCAAGCCATTAGGCTCTATGGGAGTTTGAAGTCAGTTTATGTAGAAAGACCCTGTGCTCCCCCCTCCCCAAATTATCATATGACCCAACAATTCTCCTTTTGGGTATATACACAAGCAACTAAAGGCAGGGTCTTGAAGAGATATTTGTAAATAAATATCCCTGACAGAATTAGTCATACTAGCTGATGTTTTTTATAAGATTAAAAAAAAAGTGTGTTACACAACAGAATATATATATATAGTATGTAATATATATGCTATGTTGTGGATAAAAAATAAACATAGTTACTTAAAACCAGAAAAGTAATGATGTTGCTCTATTCCACATTCAAAAGGAGATGGGGTATCCTTCTGTGTACATATTGGTTGATGAATAAAACAGTGGTTGATCAGTAGTGAGGCAGGAAGTATAGGCAGGGGCTACTAGACAAGGAGAATTCTGGGGAGAGGACAGAAAGAAACTGCCAGGGAGATGTCATGTAGCTGATGAAAGAGTAACATGCTGGAACATTCTCTGGTAAGATGTGGCCATGTGGCAATACATCATTTAATAGAAATGGGTTAATAGTTAAGAGAGAGCTAGCCAGTAAGAAGCCTGAACCATCGGCCAAACAGTTTATAATCTCTGTGTTTATTTGGGGCCAAAAGGCTGTGGTACCAGGCAGAACAGAAACTCCGTCTACAACAAGGTAACTAAAATAGTCACTTTCTAAGACAGTAGAATACTACTTGCCAGGGAAGTTAATGGATGTAGACTTTGTGTTCTAAGGATGGGATGCAGTGCTGCTTGTACAGTCATGAATGTGTTGAGAACTGGACTTACACGCCTAGGCTTTCTCAGAGGCCCAGATAGTATGGAAAAGGAACAGAGTTCCTTCCCAAAGCGAGGAACACGCTTGATACAGCCAATACTAGCCTGAGGTCCTGTTGTGTAGAGAAGGAACACAGCTGCTTCTCTAAAACCAGGAAGTGGCAGAGAGAGCTGAGGCCTTGGGGGATCTTGATTTCAGATCCTGAAAAACCAGTTATTCCTACTACAAGGGGCTATGGTTATCTCCCCAAGAGCATTGTGTGCTCTATTTGTAATGTTCTTGAGATAGCCTATGTTCCCTTTGTGCAACATTGTTTGATTAGCCTCTTGCTGACTTAGTCTCACTGTGTGATAGTTTCTGCTGATTCTGTCTCATTGCTCCCCTGGAAACGGTATATAAGATGCTGTACTTCAAGCTTGCTTAAGACATAACTTGTGCAAGCCGTCCTGATCACAAACTTCATTGTCTGCTCTCTCTTCTGTCTTCTGATCTGCTGGTCCTTTCTCTCAGGACCCTGTCACTGAAGAATGACCTGCTGGTCCAGATCATTATTTAATTGTACAGTTGGGAATGGTTAGGGTGGTAAATTATGTTACATGTATTTTACCATAGTTTTAAAATATGTTATAAAGCATATAATAATACAGACTTGTCTAAACTTTGGTTGATACTGATACAGTGCTCTGATGTGTTCAGATTTCCCTGTTATAACAATTACTGTTCAGAGGTTGTACTCCCATACTTGTAAGAAAGCTGCATACTCATTGTAAGAATTAGCTCTGGGACACGTGTACAGCACAATCTGGAACTCCTTAGTATAGATAGGTACTGAGCAGTGGTAGAGCGGGCTCACAAAGTTTTTAAAAACCTTTTCTGGTACAGTACTACTGTTCATTGTCAAACTATGTTAGTCTTGTTCAAGAAAATAATAAATACTCATACATTATTTTATTTACATCCTGTGATAATTTTCTACTTACAGATACATTTAGATTATAATAAAAACAGTTTGAGTGCTACCAAGTCTCATTTGCCCTTTCCCCCGTGTGTGTTTGTTTGTATGTGTGTATGTATATGTGTGTGGGTGTCCAAAGACTCCTAGAAGGGTGTCAGATTCCTTGGACTGAAGTTAGAGGCATTCTGAGCACCCTACTGTGGGTCCTGGGTTCTGAACTCTGTTTTCAAGATTGAGCTTAACTGCAGATACATCTCTCCAGCCTCTACCCATGGTTTTTGATATTCTGTTCTAAATTTAGATATCCAGAGAGAAGAGGAGAAAGTAAAACGGTCTGTGAAAGATGCCGCCAAGAAGGGCCAAAAGGATGTCTGTGTGGTTCTGGCCAAGGAGATGATCAGGTCAAGGAAGGCGGTGAGCAAGCTCTATGCATCCAAAGCGCACATGAACTCTGTGCTCATGGGGATGAAGAACCAGCTTGGTAAGGTATCTTACATCCCCTAATAATGCTCTGTCATTGCTCCTGTCTATACTGATTTCCTTGATGGGAAGAATAGGCTCAAGTCTGGTTTTTACTTTGTGCATTGTCCTAACTAGGGTACTGTACAAATGTAAAATATAATTGTCACTATTAATTTGTTCCTCATTTTTGCCAATGTTTTTTGAAATAATGACAGACTACATAGACATCTTTGTTTAGAAGTCAGAATATTAAGTGTTCAGCTACAGTCCATATTCTGCCTGACCCTTGAATGCTCTTTGTAAGATGACATGTGCTCATGAGTATTCTATTTAAAATACCTTGCCTTCTCATTGCATTTGATTAAAATGAGATTCTCAGTTTGATCTTGGAGGTGTGCTCTGACCTCGTCTCTTCCTTGTCTCCTTTCTTCTCTCCATCCATCTGTACTGCTCTTTCTGTTCTTGGAACTGGACTGGCTTATTCTTATCTTAGAACCTTTACTTTTGGTGATCTCTCTTCAAGTACACATACTCCTGTCTCTTGAAAAGATTGGTCCTTGACCTACAGGTCTCAGTTCAGATGCTCTTTCTGTTTTTGGAACTTTGACTGGCTTATTCTTATCTTAGAACCTTTACTTTTGGTGATCTCTCTTCAAGTACACATACTCCTGTCTCTTGAAAAGATTGGTCCTTGACCTACAGGTCTCAGTTCAGATGCTCTTTCTATTCTTGGAACTGGAGTGGCTTATTCTTATCTTAGAACCTTTACTTTTGGTGATCTCTCTTTAAGTACACATACTCCTGTCTCTTGAAATGATTGGTCCTTGACCTACAGGTCTCAGTTCAGATGCTAGGCACAGAGTAAATCCTTTTCTAAAGCTTCTATCAACAACACAACATGACAGTGCCTTTAACTTCTTTCCTTTTTTTCCCCTGAGACAGGGTTTCTCTGTGTAATAGCCCTGGCTTTCCTGAACTTACTTTGTAGACCAGGTTGGTTCAAACCCAGAGATCCACCTGTTTATGCCTCCCAAGTGCTGAGATTAAAGGTTTGTGCTGCCAAGCCTGGCTTTCTTACAACTCTCCTAGGTATTAATTTCTAATGAAATTAACTTGTTTTGTTATTTAAATTTATTTTTAGTTTTACAGTTCTAGGAATTGAACATAGAACCTTGTACTGGCTAGGCAAGTGATATACCACTGAGCTATTATCTCCAGTCCTTTTTTTTGTTCACTTAAATTTTTTGAATCTCAGTATCCAACCCTAGTTGGCCTAGAACTCACATAGATTCATTTGCCTCTGCTTTCTGAGTGCTGGAATCAAAGGCATGCATCACATGCCCCACATTTATTTATTCTTAATGTATACTTGTGTTTTCCTATTAGAGCCAGATATCTTGACTGTCTAACTCATGAGTGTATCTCTAGTTTAGAAAAGTATCTGGTCATGTAACAAGCATGTTCAAGTGCTAGTGACAGTTTCTCTATGGTATGTAGTTGTTAGCAGAATCTTTAATTCATTAGTTCACTTTTTAGAGACTTATATTTTTTAAAGATTTATTTATTTAGTTTTCTAGTATGTGTATGAGTGTTTTGCCTGCCTGTATGTCAGTGTACCATGTGTGTGCAGTACCTGCAGAAGAGGGCATCAGATCCAGTGGAACTAGAATTATATACGATTGTTAGCTGCCATGTATGTACTGAGACTCAGGTTCTCTAGCATTGCAACCAGCACTCTTAACCACTGAGCCATATCTCTCCATCCCTTTTATTTTATTCTATATTAATTCATGTATATGTTTATGCACATGCTTGTGGGTGCTAGCAAAGGCCAGAAGAAGGCATTGGATCCCCCTGGTGCTGGAGTTACAGATGGTTGTCAGCCAAATGATTGGGAACTGTGATTGTGTCCTCTTCAAGAGAAGCAGATGCTCTTAACCACCGAACCGTCAGTATTTTTTTCCAGCTAGTTTTTATAGCTTTTTTTCCTCCTTTTCTTTTTCTTCCTCTCTCCCACTTCCCAGTTTTGATCTTAGAACTCTGAGTCTCAGGAAGCCCCTCAGCACATGCAGATGACCTGATATCTCAGTCTAGATCCCTTATCTAGCATGTGTGGGTCTACGTATTCTGTACTGACTGCTTCCAGGTGAGGCCTGCATGGCTCTCCCAGGCTCAGGCATCTTCATTGCCTATTTTTATTGTGATTGTTTCTCATACACATTGGCTACTTGTTTTTAGGCATTCGTAAGATTTCTCAGCAGTAGTGTGTTATTCCTGTATTACTAAAGGTTGCAATTTTAAATAGTGCCTTTGGAACCTTGATCTCTTCTTTGACTTGTTATGTCAAAATTCTTTAGGCTTATTTTGGAAGGCATCATTTTGCGTGGGGGCAGGGGTTCTTATTAGTGGTGGTTTATTTGAGACAGTGTAATGTAAAAAAAAGGGCTAAGTCCAGGCAAGACATGCTAGTGCACACCTTTAATCCCTGCCTGGACAGTCACCCAAACTTCCTTTGCAATGTTGGGGCACTCGTTTCCAGCCTACAGGCCCATGGTATCTGGCAGACTTCAGTGAAGCAGGAAAGTTAAAAGACTGTCCACCTGTATTCACAGTTTGTCACTTTCCTCAGGGTCCTGCAGAATGTCTGACAGATTCCTCATTGAAGCAGGAATTTTGAAGGACTGCCCTGCCTTGTTTTGCAAAGTTCTACTGTCTTTTTCTGTAGGTCCTGCATGTTCAGTTTATACAAATATGTCAAGCAGTGAGGCAAAAGCAGTTTCTTCCTAAATGGTTAGTCTTGCCCGAAGCAAGCTCCATGAGGAGTTTCTTTGATGGCCATCATCTCTGAAATAAATTGGTGCTGCCAGGAGCAGATGTGTCTCAGTGTCATAAAAAGCCCTAAGTTAACAAAAAGTTTTAATTGCCATTTCTGTAGGTTTTTGAAAGTTTTGAAGACCTTCTATCTAAAATATATCTCTATATGATATGGAAAACATACCGAGCATTTCTACAATTTTGATTGTTATAAATGATTAACTACCAAACTATGTTTCTTGATTATCCTAAATAGTTTATAATATATAAGAATTTCACCTTACATTTTTAAATCAACTGCCTAGGTTCAATACCTTAAACAAGAGTAGAAACATTCAATGTTTTAACAAAAATAACCTTAAATTTGTATCAGTATACAAAAGTCCTTTAAACAAGAGTAAAAACATATGTACAGTGTAACAAAATTGACTTTGAATTTGTATCCATATTCCAAAATCCATGCCAGTGCAAAATACCATGCCGGGCTGTGGTGGTGCTGCCTTTAATCCCAGTGCTCCTGTGAGCTCCAGACCAGCCTGGTCTGCAAGAGCTAGCTCCAGGAAACAAAATGTTTTTCATTTCCAATTGACACTTTTTTGACTTTTTAAAAGTTAAGGCATTCTTAAATATCTAGTTTGGTTTATTTCACCAGTCCCTCTATCAATTCCAGGTCTCTTAGCAGCTGTCCCTTGCTTTTCAGCAGTCAAAAAAATTCAAAACCAGCACAGTAACATACAGGATCCAGACTCCTGTGTATTTCCTCTTATGTAGCTTGTTCTTTATTACTTTTACTCTCCTTAAAGACTTCATTTTATTTTATTTTGTTTTGTTTTTCGAGACAGGGCTTCTCTGTATTGTTTTGGAGCCTGTCATGGAATTCGCTCGGTAGTCCAGGCTTGGTCTCGAACTCACAGAGATCCACTTGCCTCTACCTCCTGAGTGCTGGGATTAAAGGCGTGCGCCACCACCGCCTGGCTTCATTTTATTTTTAAAACCTCTTTTTTCCTTCCTTCCTTACTTCTTTCTGTCAGTCCATCCATCATTCTCTTTCTTTCATCTTTCTTTTTTTCTTTCTATAACTGCCTGTATCCATTTTCTTTCTTAAACCTGTGTACATTGTAAAACACACTAGAACCCAGTTTTTTTTTTCCATCTGGACCTCTTTTACTTCGTATCTCTAGTAATTTTTGACCATACAAGCAAACTTTAAACTGGTAGGCTATACCTGGGTCCTCCAAGTGCTGCTCCACTGGCTGGCCCCACCCACTTCTCATGCTGGGAAAGCCTCCTGACAGAACTGCATTAACCCTTGACGGCTATGGAAGCTGGCACCTCCATTGCCACAAGCAGTTTTTACTTAGCTTGCTTTTTCTCTGCCAGCTGAACAGCAGCACCTCTTAAAGGAGCCGTGTCTTTTTTCCAGCTCTGTTGCGCTCTGGGTGGATATCCGAGCCCTATGTTGGTATGCCATATGTTGTGTGATTTTTACTCTTTTGGCTTTTTGGGGGCCTGCCACCCTGCTCCCAAGTAAATCACATATGGAGGCTTATTCTTAGTTATGAGTGCCCAGGCTTAGCTTGGTTTATTTCTAGCCAGTTTTTTTTAAAATTACCCAGACTACTTTTTGCCTCTGGGTTTTTTACCTTTTCTTACTTCTCTGCATCTTACTTTTACTCTTACTTTGTGGGTGGCTGATCCCTGAAGTCTTCTCCTTGTTCTATTTTGCTCTCACTCTTCTTCTTCTCCTCCTCCTCCTCCCCCCTTCTATTTATTCTCTCTCCTGCCAGCCCCGCCCATCCTTGCTCCTGCCTCGCTATTGGCCATTCAGCTCTTTATTAGGACCACCAGGTGTTTTATACAGGCAAAGAGTCACAGCTCCACAGAGCTAAACAAATACAGCATCAGCAAAAGTCACACACGTTAGCATAATATTCTACCACAATTACTGCATTTATTTTTATATGTGTATTTACTGTGCATGTGTTGGGGGAACATACCTGCCACAACACACATGTGAAGGTCAGAGAACACCTTTTGGGTAGCAAGTCTCTCCTGTCATTTGGACCTCGGGTAAAATTCAGGGTCAGGTTTGTCAGTGGATGCTTTTGCACATGAAGCCATCTTACTGGTAACCCTTCTTTTTTCTTTTTCTTCTTTTTTGTATTGGGATTAAAATTGTGGATGGCACAAGTACAATTATTTTAG